ATGTATATATATATGTGTATATATATATGTATATATATATGTATATATATATGTATATATATGTGTATATATATATATTTTCTGCAACACCGCATAAAAAGTGAAACAAGGTCATGGCTTTCTCAATAAAAGTAGTGTTTGAAACATTCTGTTTTAAATTGAAATTGTGCTGCATAAATGGACCATTCCCCATCCCTGTGAGAATATTAGTTTGTAACAAAAGGTTTATATTTTCTCCTCAACTTAACGTTCTACTTAAGGTGAGAGCAAACGTTCTATTGCTGCAAAAAAAAAAAAAAAAAGCAGCGTACCGCTAGTCCGCACCCTGTGGAGAAAGGCTCAGAGCCGGTGATTCACTAATTAAAGAAGAGTCCTCAGCAGGACTAGCTCCAGAGCAACAGCTTTTGTAACGGTGCTGCAAGCTGGTTGGTCCTTAGCTTGCTGTCATTCAATTGCAGCAGCCAATTAAAAGCAGGCTACATTTCTCTGTTACTACGCAGCCAGCTCTCTTTCTTCTGACTGTAGCTCCTCACTCTTTGACATGTTTCAATTGTATTTTAACCAATACTTGCAAGTGGTGTCTGTTCATATGTGGTTAAAACACATCAAAGAAGCAGAAGTGGAAGTGTGTGTTAGGCAGAAAAGTTTTTTTTTTTTTTTGACATACATTTGTGACTGTGGTCGGGCGGACGGATGATATGAGTGATATAATAGATGTTGTTGTAATTGTGTCATTTGTACACAATTACTCAAAATATCATTACGTTTCAGCAGTCTTACTGGTCTGCACTGCACTTAAATGCACTTTTGTTTTTTTATTATTTATAATTTATAATTTATATGATTACAGGAGTACATTTAAACACTTATATTGTGCATTGTTTTGAATGTGCTAAATAAATATATTTTCAGAATTGTTTCATTGATTTATTCTTTGAAACATGAATATTAATTTGGTGCATTTGCAATGCCTTAATTTTAGTGAGTTTAATAAAGTTAAACAGTCATAGCCATAAATGCAATGGTATTGTATGTATGTATGTATTGGCAAAATAGTTTATTTCAGTGTTTCGATTTTCGTTTTTCTGCCTCGGTTTCCTCAGTTTTGGTTTCAGCCAATTATTTTAATTTCAGTGCATCCCTAATAACAAACTTTAATCATACCAACAGCATTATGTTAGAGAAATTAGTGATAGAGAAGGCCGGCCATTAGAACAAAAAATGTCCATATTGTCAATATGTCCTTGTAATTTTATAACAAATCAATGGCAAGAAGTACTTTACAAGGAAATACCTTTGAGATGAAGTTTTAATATGCACCATTGGGTGATGTCATTGGTGTTGTTTCCTTTATATAGCTTAATTTCAAGCAGTGATTTAGTCATTCATAATACAGTAGCAACAACTAACGATTGGTCAGTCCTTTCTTGACACACTGATCCATCTGTCTATCTATCTATCTATCTATCCATCCATCCATCTATCTATCTGTCTATCCATCTATCATCCATCCATCCATCCATCTATCCATCCATCCATCAATCTATCCATCCATCCATCCATCCATCCATCTATTTATCTATCCATCTATCTAACTATCCATCTATCTATCTATCCATCTATCTATCTATCTATCCATCTATCATCTATCTATCTATCTATCCATCTATCATCTATCTATCTATCTATCCATCTATCATCTATCTATCTATCTATCCATCTATCATCTATCTATCTATCTATCCATCTATCATCTATCTATCTATCTATCCATCTATCATCTATCTATCTATCTATCCATCTATC